TTGCGAGAGTTATAGAATCTTTATTCATCGTTAGCATAAAACGTAAAGAGTTATACATTATCTATCTATCTATCTATCTATCTATCTATCTATCTATCTATCTATATTATATATATATATATATATATATATATATATATATATATATATATATATATATATATATATATATATATATATATACACACAAAAGCACAGTATTTAAATAGTGTCTAGTAAGACCTTTGATCCAACATACGTGAAGAAGGAGGCAAGCTATCCAACTTATTAACATCGAGCGTTATAACGTATGTGTTAGTACTACACTAACGAGTTATAAATATATACAACATATATATATATATATATATATATATATATATTATATATATTGTATGTATATATAAAGAGAGAGAGAGAGAATGAGAGAGAGAGAGAGAGAGAGAGAGAGAGAGAGAGAGAGAGAGAGAGAGAGAGAGAGAGAGAGAGAGATAATGTCTTAGGCATATAACACGATATATTTATATCTACCGAAAGTATTAAACATAGATCATGAAACATGTTCATACGATAAAATGTTTTAATAAAAAGGACCCTGCTGAAATTTTTTATTATTATTATAATTAATCTGATATAGGTCGCTGGTTTATTCTATGGACAAATATCATTCAAGGGAAAGTTGAGGAGGGTCGCGGCTGCCCTCGTGAGGGGGGTGTGCAAAATATTTGCCAGAAAGATATTTACATGTTATTATTGTGTTAACCTACACATAATTATTTCACGCCTGCGCACGCGTACCCACACCTCCCCCCCCCCCCCTCCGAAACATATTTCCATAAGGTAAAACTTATTAGGTTTTACACTAACAAAAATAACGCTCGAATCGAACCCACCAAAGGACACTGCAAGTATGTGAGTACTTAGTACGGATGACGCGAGTTCGATGGCCAAAGAGGGAGCATTTTAATGAGTATCCCTATCTTTCTGATGAACGCTTTGTCTCTTTTAACTTGGGTTGTTTCTGACAGACTAAAACAAGGAAACCCACCTCCTAAATTATCTAAATTGTGTCGACGGGGACATTATGATAGGGTTTCTAAATTTTCCGCTTAATTTACTAAAGGTGGTTGGAGAGCATCAGTGGCAGATTCTACATCTTCTCTTGTTCACTCTCTGTTTTTTGCCTGTCTTTCTGTGTCCTTGCACTAGATGTGCTTTATTGAGCCGAAGTGCTTCTCTTTAAAAGATGAGATACATGGTATTGTCCAGATCCTGGTTCAAACAAACTTACAAACTGTGGGAGGTTGGCGGGTGCTCTGGTGTGGTTTGCTTCTTCTTTCCTATCTAACATCTATCGTCCTTATCTCCCCTCCTATTTTATGTTTGTTACTCTATTGTAACACCTCTAATCTTCTGGTGCTCATATTATGACCTTATACAGTTTCTAGCGCCGTAAAACCTCTACTAAAACAAACAACAAACTTACAAACTACTCGAGAAGTTAAAGGTAAAGGCCGAGTTTTATTTGAAGTCTCCCCTCGGAACCTATTTGACCTTTCACGCATTGCCAGATCACCACACTTTGAAAGCCTATTATAGGAGCAGCTAAGAGGTCTAGCGAGAAAGACATTTTAATTTATCTCTAAAACCGATATCTGAATTGAACCTTTACCTGTGGGTTGTTGGCAGATTCTCTGGTGCGGTGTGCTCCTTTTTTAATATCAAACATCTGTCGTTCTGATCTCTCCTCCTTCCTGTTTACGTTTGTTATTATCTTGTAACATGTCTTATCATCTGCACTAATATTATGTTATTGTGTTCCAGGTGACTACAAACTCTTACTAAAACTAAAGAACTTTTCTTGTGTTGATTAACACTAATGTGGCTTTTGAAACGTGCTTACCTTTTAGTTACGTGTTCTATAGGAGCAAAAGAGTGTACCCTAAAATTACTGTCATTTGCCTAACACTTTTTCCAGGATGTTCATAGTTTTCATTTCTCTATATTCTGTTTTCCAGTTCTAATTGGTTTCAGAGTCGTTTGGTTTTGGGGGGTTTTTTCCAACATCAAACACCTCTTATCGCACTGATGTGCTTCTCTTTGCTCAAACTTACTTGGTGGTTGGTGGGCGAACTGATGTGGTTTGCTAATTCTTTTCTTTCAAACACGTATCCTTTTTTGGTCTTTGTTTGTTGCTCTTTAGTAAAACAATTTGCATTTATATGACATACCTCTTTTTTGCGAATGCCATAAAACTTGTACCAACACTAAAACTCAAAGTTACACCCGACAAATCAAAACTCATTGCTATAATGGATTTTCAATTGAGCAACATACTTGAAGCTTAAATGTTCAGATGGGCATGATTTTCTGAGCTTTGATATCTGATTGGCCTTGTAAAACATCACATTTATGGAGTGTTCCATTGGTAGTAATGGTAGGTCCTGCATTACGACAAAGAGAACAGTTTTGCTGAATCTTCCGAAAATCTCCAAATTCACGTGCATGCTGGAAATTGTTAAAAAACCTAGAATCTAGCAATTAGCAAAAATTGCAGCCTCTGCCTTAACTCTTTATGTGTTTAGTGCCAAGTAATAATTTGACAAATTTGATAGGGTTAAAACGTTAGTTGTTCCTCAGTTTGCTTTCTTAATTAGCGTCATTCCTGACATATCAGCAGTGATCCCTCGCCTACTTGTTATGAGTGACACTTAATCTGCTACAGTGTGGTTCTCTTCACCGTTGATATTATCAATGCTTTTATTTCTTTTATTAAGAGAATCCTGTCTGATGATACCGTAGTAATTTTCATAAACTGTTTCGAAATTCGTCTGTCGAGAATTACTAGGTACACAGTACACAGCCAAACAGGCGCTCTGTTAGCTCAGTTGGCATCATGCAGTGTAGGTGGTTGGCAGTTGCTCTGGTGGATATATTGATACAAAAATAAATAGATAGATGGATGGAAGGGTGGATGGATGGATTAGTAGATAGACAGATAGATAGATAGATAAATAGATAGATAGATAGATAGATAGATAGATAGATAGATAGATAGATAGATAGATAGGTAGATAGATAGATAGATTGATTGATAGATAGATTTTAAAAATCAAAATCAATCTGTATGTAATAAGTCTAGTAGAACGTATAATTGTTAAAGGAAATTGCAACAAAACCTATTCAATACTATTGTGCCTTTAATTTGAAGGGAACATGACATTGTTATCTAAACCAGCGAAATGTTTAAGATGACAACCGGAAACGGTCGATGTTATCAAAAAATAAAGAAATCCCCTGCCTACTTCCTGAATGCCCCACTGAAAAATCCGCTTATCCTCGATACAACAGTTTCTTATCCCCGGCACAACAGTAATTTTGATAAAGACTGTTGCATGTGTCAGTGAGAGCGAGCAAGCGAGGCAAATGAACCAGATTTAAGATGATATCAATGACTCCATAACATGCCTAAAAATTGACGAGGGCCTAGTTCTACCATGTCGTGACACGATTGATAATAAAGTTCGGTAAACAGGCATTGCCCTCTTGACCATAACATCTGCTCAGCAGTTGTCCTGTGTTGGTGATTGTGGCTGCCCAGGCCACGGGACTTTAATCATATAAACCCCCTCCACGGAAAGCTTATGTGAACAGAGGCATGAGTTTGATCAGAAATCCTTTCCACCGACCCCCCCCCCCCCCTCCTAAACACACCCATCCCCAACTCCCCTTATGTCGGGATCTGATAGGAGACAGACATTAAGTTGAAAATGAGTTACCGTTTGTTTTGTTTTTTGCATAGTCCAGGTGAAAAGAAGTCTTGATACTTTTGTTTATATATGGTCCAGGTGAAAATGAGTTGTTATTTTCTGTTTCTAGGGTCATGGTGAAAATGAGCTACTATTTTCTGTTTCTATGGTCCAGAGATTTCGAAATTTATCATGCAAGTAGAAATAACAAGTTACCCTTTATTGTCTCCCAAAAGCAGATACCCGCACCCTATCCAACGCATCCCACTCCCTTCCTTTATGCGTGCGTGTTTGTGTTGGAAGCTGTAGACAAAGTTAAGGAGCAGTCTCCGTTATGATCCCTACAATCCCGATACAAAATAAATATTAACAATCGTGCTTGCACTGTCTTTTATTTACTTCCTGCTATTTCTCCAGTCTTCCTTTCTATCTTCATCACTACTTCCTTCTAGCTTCTTCACTCTCTCCTCATTCTGTCTTTTTTCTCTTACTTCTGGTTTTGTCTTTTACAATAAACACTGAGCCAAACCTCTGTCTTTGGATGAACATTATAATACTATTGATTAGTCCCAAAACGAAAACAAACAACAATTGACGTACTTCTTGTGATATTTTATGATAGAATCAAGATAGAGGTTGTTTTATCTTTACCGTTTGGGGTTGGCTGGTGCCTTAAAGGTGTGGTTTGCTCCTTCTTTCCTATCAAACATCTGTCACCCTCGTATCTCCTTCCTTTTTTACTTCGTACATTTCTCTGTCGTAACAGCTTAAAGCTTTGGCACTTAATTGACCTATCAAACACCTATCGTACTTAAATCTCTTACTTTTGTCCTTCGTAAATGTGCAACTCTATAGTAACATCTCTATAAACGCTATTAGCTTATTTAAGAGGCGGGCCTCCGAGTTTAACGTCCATCTCCGAAAGGACCGAGCCAACCATGAAATGTGTGCCTTTCCCAAGGACACAATGTTGGGCCGAGCTGAGGCTGGAAGCCACGAACTCCCAATCTCACGATTATGAGCCTGGTAGCCTAATCACGAGGCTACAGACGCCACGTAATCTTCGGCAATTATACAACCTAATTGTGTTGAAAGAACTGTAAAACTCTTACCAACTCTAAGACTCAAAAATCCACTTGTATTGTTTCTTAGTATGTTACTCTGTAGTAACCCCTCTAATCGTCGTCACTTGCACGGCCTATATGTGTTGTGAGTGCAGAAAAGTCATATTAACTCTAAGACTCAAAATTCCTCTTCAATTGTTTCTTTCAGCATCTCGACAAGACCCATTGTCATTGCCATTATCGTCGGCGCCATCATCATCGGTGTCGGGTTGGCCATTGGGCTTGGAGTTGGTCTCAGAGACAGCGATGATGACGTCATCGCACCGGTTGCGAACGGGGAGAAGTACAAGTCCTCGACTGGAACATTTCAATACGCTGCCGTGGTCGCGGACTCAGAAGTCTGCTCCGACATTGGGAAGTAAGTAATTGACTTTATTTAAAACCAAAAATTCTAATAGCGCCTTATGCTGGTGATATCAAAGAATGTTGTTTTATTCTTATGAGTAATTCTAAGGATTTTAAAGTTCTCTACTGTTTTGTGTGATTTTGTGTATGAGTGCGCGTACGTGAGTGATGTGTATGTGTGTGTGTGTGTGTGTGTGTGTGTGTGTGTGTGTGTGTGTGTGTGTGTATGTGCTGTTTGTGTGTGTGTGAGAGAGAGCGAGAGAGAGAGAGAGAGAGAGAGAGAAAGAGAGAGAGAGAGAGAGAGAGAGAGAGAGAGAGAGAGAGAGAGAGAGATCAAGGTCGGTCGACGATACATTGATTGATGTGTATAAGCAGCACATTAGCTAGGTCTTAAAAAGATTTCAAATCAGAGTGACCATTCCATGGTTTCTACAAGATAGGTATAAGATATATAAAATTAATAATATGCATAAACACGTTAAATGGGTACGTTGAAGTTCAATAAAAAAAAAACGACTCAAATTTGAGTTTGAAACAGAAATCTAGGTAAAGTACACATGCATAAACCAAAATATTTCACAACTGTCATTGATTTCATCTCCACTCTCCTTCATCTCCACACCCCAACCCAACCATTACATCATAACTCACCCTTAATCCAATCCCACCCCTCACCCTACCCCAACCTCAACCCACAACCACACCCATACCCACACCCACCCCCACACTTACGCCCACTTCCTACCGCATCCTGGTAACCTGGCCCAAAACCCCATTCTACCCCATCCTACCCCACCCCCACTTTCTCTTTCTCCAGTGACGTGTTGGCTCGACTGCGAGGTAACGCCATGGATGCCACTGTAGCCGCCCTGTTCTGTACTGGACTCCTCAGTGCTCACAGCTCGGGAATTGGAGGAGGTTCTTTCTACACTATATACCACAAGTAGGTCCGGGACATACACGCCCACCCCCCCCCCCAACCTCTACATAAACGTACACGAACCGCCTCTCTAATCACACGTCGTGCAAGTAATCACATTTCAACCTGCAGAGCTAACAGGCGGTCTGAAGTACATTGTATTATATTCATTTAACTCTTTGAAGACGCTCAGTCTAACCATTAGACAACGCTTGGAGACACCCTGTTTTTAGGCACTTCGAAAAAGAAACATTGTTTCGTTTTCAAACAGGTTTTCCCATTCTCCCTTCTTTGTAAGAAACTTGGAAAGCAGGTAACATCCTGTAAACTATGAAATATGCAATGAAAATTTCTTATTTGAGTATGATGGATCGAAATCTACCACAAATTTGCCTGCTGTCTGCTGATAGGACATGTTTGTCTTCTTCATTCTTAAAGAGTTAACGCCGTAGTTTTTTATTGTTGTTGTTTTTTTTTTCTAAGTATTATTTTCTAAACACTAAGTGGGAAAATCGCCTAAACTTGGAGCAGCGGCCTTTTAACATTGTGTTATCGACCACACCAGCATCAGGCAGGCTGTGGGAAAAGAACTGAATACAGTTTGCTGATTGTTCTGTTTCTTAAATGGCTTACATTGTGTGAAGCTTCAGTGGCGGTGGGTCGTTGTAAATGTGGGTGAAGCTAAGAAATGGGGGTAGATTGAGTTCAAAGGTGAGAATTCCTTGGTTCAGAGGACATTCTAGATAGAGTAAAAGTTTCATACACAAACTCACAAGCAAAAGCGCTTATATGACCTAATGCAGTTGCGAGAGCAGTAAAACACTTACCAAAAAATATTTAAAAAAATAAAAATTAAACACATAAATGCACACATACAACATATACAAGAATAACTGCTTTAGGCCGTGTGAATGCTGAAAGCAAAGCATTCCTAAAGCGAGGGCCAATGAGCGTGTTTTGGTTACTGGGTTTCAGGGAAAAGTGAGTCATGAACTTTCCCCCCATTGTCTGGGCTGGCAGAGAACGAGCCCTCTCTAACAAACAGTTTCCGCGGGCTCTCGTTTGGTTCTTTTACCTTTATTTCAAGAAGAGTTTCATTAAGAAAGGACCGATCGAATGGGCTCATCCTTTGCTGAGCCCCAAACACATTTGATTGGCTGTTTGGTTACTATAGTTGTAAGCGTTGACTACACTGATTGGATAAACGAGCAAGTGCGTGTGTTCACTGTATGCAACAAGAGGCGGAGGCAGATGATTCTAAATCTGTTCTAACTGTTTTAACTGATTTTTTCGTTGATTAGAAGAAACATTCATTTACGTGGGGAAGGGGTTGGG